AGTTAATGACAGTTTATAGCACTTAACTATACAAAAATTATTTGATTTTCTCATCTTTGGCAGAAAGCTGGTTTGAGTTAAACAGGCCATTTTATTTAAAAAGTTCGGCTTCAACTAAATCAGCTTCAAAATATATCCTTCTTAGATACTGAGAAGTAGATTAAATTTATCTTTTGTATTTGTTACAAGAAAAGAATACTCAGTATTTACATTTTAAATCCTATGAAATAAATTTAGAATATAAGTGATATCTTATCCCACGAGCTGTTTTGGTTGCCAATGAGCTTCCATGTTCAATTCATATTAGTCATCACCTATGAAGCCCTTCATGAAATGGAGCAGAATGGAGGGACTACTTCTCCTTGATTATATCTACCCATCCCATCAGATTCGGAAGAAACGGCAGGTATGGGTCCTGTCTTCTAACAAATTCTACTTGGCAAAATCCAGGAAGAGAACCTTTTCTGTTATGGCACTTATTGGAGTTTCATCTCGCTGAAAATGAATGAGACCTAAACCATTGGCTATGTCTTCAGGCATCAGGACTATAATGTATAGGAGAGCCTGTGAGATGGTTATGTTGATAGTAATGATTTTTATATTGGCTGCTGGTAATTTATTGTTATAATGCTGTTATGTTGTATTTTTAGTATCTATTTCCTTATGATGTTGAGATGGGTGATCATATCAATTGAAATAAATAAATAAATAAATCCAGCTAATGCCTTCCAAAAGTACATCAATTCCACTGCAATTCTTTTCAACAATATAACCTGGAAGAAATGTGCCTTGGCATTTATTTTGTGCAAGAATTTTCATCATATTTTAAAAAAATTACTAATTAAGCAAGTTTCAATATATGTAGTAGTGAACCATGCAGGGTAAGAATTATTTCTATTGTATTATTAATAATGTCTTGGATCCTAATAATGTTACACTATCATGAGCATTCTCTCAGTAGAATTTTTTTGATAGAAAATTGCCATCTAATAAATAAACATTTATTAGGAATAAACATTTTTTTTCATGATAAACTTTATTGGCTATAGTCTCCAGAAATTTATTCCAGAGAGTTAGTAAAATGTCTGGATCAATGTTGAGAGGACATAATGAGCTATAAAAAATAAATCAATTCATTTCTATCTTCTTGTCCTATTAAAGTTTTTGTAAGATCATAAACAATTGTTCTATCCATAACAGAAAATTTAAATTCAGCCTAATATTTAGATATACAGTTTATAGTCCCAGTCTGAATTATTATATAAATAAAGCATCCTAAATAAACAACTTCCTTTAAAGCATTTTTCCCTGGGATAAATTATAACATTTCTTTTTAAAAGACCCAATGTACTTGTGAATTCATAGACATTTATTTCAATATGTTAGTTTAAGAAACTGTGTTCCATTGTAATTGGTCTCAGAGGCTCTCGTATCCCAAAGCAGTAAAATTTAAAATGTTTAGAGAAGTTGGCAAACCTCTTTATAGGGAGCAAACTATTTTTATGAACTAACAAAAATATTTCACTTTTATTTTATAATTTTTGACCAATCAAGCCAATGCTGGTCATATATGTTCCTCTCAATTTTGGAATGTTAGAATAAATCTTTGAAGAGACGGATTAACAGACAGGGAGATGATGAGTTAGTATAAGGGTGTGTAAGAAATTCATTTATCAAATGGATTGACAGTGTATCATATACATATTGGTATGATTACATGGAGATATGCATAGAACTTTCATATTTCTTATACCTTCTTCTATAATGAAAGGAAAAATTATTCTCCAGCAGTAATGGTAAGAAAGATTTTTTTTTTCAATCTCTAAGGTATGATATACCAGAAGAGACTTGTCACAATTTCTGAACAATATAAAAAATATATATAATATAATATAATATAATATAATATAATATAATATAATATAATATAATATAATATAATAATATAATATAATATAATATAATATAATATAATATAATATAATATAATATAATATAATATAATATAATATAATATAATATAATATAATATAATATAATATAATATAATATAATATAATAATATATATAAAAGAAAATGCAATCTATTCTTTCCATGTTAGAAATTAACAAATTAATAAGAGCGTCCAGTAGTTATACCAATTAGGAAAGAAATGTCATATAAGCTACCTCACCTCTTCCTCAAAAGCCCTTGAGGAAAATAATACAATGTTAATTTTGTCTTATTTCTAATCTTAAGGAAAACAGAGAATTAGTTTCAATTCTGATGTTAACTTTAGAAGAGTTAGCTAATGTTTATTTTCCTTTTGACTGACTAAAACCGTAGTAAGCCAAAACCCTGAAGAATTAACACTTACTGTGATAAAGAGACATGGTCAATGAAGGTTCTCTTTGGTTCATAATATGGAATGTAAACATAGCTACTTTCAAGGTACATTACATTTTCTGATTGTTAAAGTACTAATGTTTTTTTCTTTTTTTCCCCTATGCAATATAAGATATTTTTTTAAAAAAATAAAAAATATATATGTATTAAAGACTAAAACAAACCATTATTGAGCTTCTTGCTATTTGTAATGCACTGTTTGTGAGGTAATATCAAAGACTAATATCTTTTTTTCTACTCCTAATCTGCAACATCATATAGCCCAAATCTTTTCATTGGTCTGTTTTACTCTTTAGCTCAGGGGTGTCAAACTGCTGGCCCGTGGGCCGGACGCGTCACAATGAAACTGCGCCCACCCCATTGCCGGCAATGGGGAAAAAGCTCCAATACGTCACGCGATGTCACGTGATGTCGTGAGTTTGACATGTCTGCTTTAGCTCATACATCTTGAAGAACATAAGAAATAATTAAAATCTAGGAAAATGTTGATATGAGGAAAAGCAAAAGAAATGAACAAATATTTCAGAAGGTCAACAGAAGGCTTACATCTATATTAAGTGATCACAAGGTTTCCAAAAATTAATTTCATTTTTACTAATAAACGTAGTTTAGGCCAAAGTATCAGTAAACTTCATTCTTTTGTTTATCAGCATAAGCTGTTTTTAAACAATTAAAGACTCCATAAATGTTTAAAGTGCAGCAGACTGTTAAGCTATTACATCATAGAAATAGTAAAATAGGGAACAGACCCCTTTATTCACAAATTATTGTAATGCTGTTTTTCCACATGTGCTGGCTATCTTGGAAATTAACATAGTGAGAACTTCTTTGTTCTTTCAAAATTCCAGATTTCTTGGCAAAAAGAAAACAGCATTCTGTATGTCCCTTTGTGTAATAAAGACATTTAATCACACTACTAATCTTGAGCTCTTTGTATTTTAAAAGATATTACAAAGAATTCATGGATACCATGACTTCTTGTCTTATACATATGTTTGCAAGTAGAATTTATGTCATGTCAATTTACCTAATTCTAGTTAATTAACTGTGGTGTGCAGAAGGTTAGGAAACCCTCATGGTGATCCTCGCAGCTTTCTATACTAGATTGGACTAGGAAAATGGGTTAAAAACAAATAAATATCTATGCAGTTGGTCATCTTTGCTTCTGTTATACACATCTCAAAGTTTATCACAGAAAGAGAAGCTAATTACTTGGAAAACTATTTTAAATAAATACACAAACACATACACATACACACTCCTAAAATACTCTTAATATATCATGGCAGGAAGGCTCGGAAATCAGAAGGTCCTGTCTCATGTCCAATGTTTATGCTCATTAGAAGCATCTCAGAAAATCATAAGTAAAAGTGAACATTGTTAACTATATAACAAAATAAAAATGGCCATGAATGGATTCAAGCAGAAAGTATAATATGGTAATGCCAGTGAGGACAGGAGCAATGGTGCAAGTCGTTTTTAAATCAATTATTCAAACAGTTATTCTCTTACAAATTCAGAAAAAATATTTCAAATGTGAATTTTATGTAGCAGCATTTTATAAAGTTTGCCAGATCTAACATTACATGTTGCACATTCTTTTGTTGATAAAGATCTGTTTGTTTTAAATTATGAAAAAATAAGTTCTTATAGGATTACATATGAAAAAACACCACTGGATTTTGTTTTATTTTTAGTGCGTGCATAAAAATGATGCACCAATCACAAAACTTCCTAGACTTTTTCTAAAAAAAAAAAAAAAAAAAA